GAAGATAATAGGAAGTTACACCTGCTATGAGCACAGTTAGTAATCAAACACCGTGCATTTTAATGGGGATGCAACTAATATTAACTGTAGCTGATGAAAAACGTTTTGGAAATATAACTGGGCTGGAGCACGTTATGCTGTGCTGTCTTTGCAGCCAAAAGGTTCTGCTGTTCCCATTAGGCATCAACATGGGAAATGTCCACTGTCAAGACGTACTGCATTGGAAGCAGTGCATATGTGCTTGTGTTAAATCAGACACAGGTTTCTGAAAAATAATATTGCTAAGCAGATGTTCATGCTGGGTATGGGAAGGAGAGAACTGAGTGTTAGTAGTCTTCTATCTGGAAAATACTTATGGACTACTTTTATGGTTTCTTGTCACTTTTGTTTTTCCATTGAGCTTCCTGTTCTTCAACCATATCTCTAATAGAGTTTATTTTTTGCCCTTTCATTTCTGTCCTCACTGCTTTTGCTTTCTCTTCCTCTGTTTCATTTTTCACTCCTTGTTTTCTTGACTGTGGTGAGCAAACTTCTGCAAAATAGAAGGCAAGGGGGTTGGACTCGATGATCTCTGGAGGTCCCTTCCAACCCCTACAATTCTGTGATTCTGTGAAAACAGGAAACTTGCATCTGGTCCCTAAGAACAGCCAGGATTTGGACTCTCTGCATTGCGCTCCTCTAAAGATTTTATAGCCTCATCTTTTTGTGATGTTTTGCAAAAATTTTAGAAAGGATGCTGGGATTGTTACATGGCACAACAGTCCCAGACTACAAAGGAACAAAATTTATAGGAAATTGGGTAAATTTGGGAGGTAAAAAAAAAAAGAAAAAAAGAAAAAACAGTGAAAGAATGTGCAGTAGAGCTGTGCTAGTCACTGAATTCACCAGTTCTAATGACTCCATAAAAGCAAACTGACGACCTGTTATCTCACTGCCTGTTTGTAGCCTGTTCTATTTGTTCTGTTGTCTGTGACGTTCGGTAGCAGAACTGAAAGCATAGAGGCGCTTTTAGGGACTGTGAGTGAGACTGTCCCAAAGGGAAATGCTGAAAGCACCAAGAAGTCACCTGCTGACGCCTGCTTCTGCGTGCCTTGCTGGAAGAGGAAATGGCAGCTCAGAGCAGACATGTCCCTTGTGACGTGGTGGTTGGGTATGTCGGGTCCTATGCTATTGTTGTCTTTCCTTTTTTTTATTAGAAATATGCTGATTTGGCCTTCTCCATATGAAAAGCATTTTCCTTATTGCATAGTAAGCAAGTAATGCAGTTCAGATATCTCAGAAGTATCTGTGGCACGTGCTTGTACTGTTCTTGGGGAAGTGTACAGGAATATATCATTAGAATTTACTTCTTTTTAAAGTGGAGCTGAGTTACGTTTGAAAGAAATGAATTCTGGAGGTTACAATGTTCAGAAGTGTAATGTGGAGGTAAATTAAGTCATTTTTCTTCATGGTGTTAATAGAATTAATGTACCTAGCAGCTCGTATGACAATATTTGTGTGTTGCCACCACATAAATACTACATTTATGAAAAGTAAATTGAAAGTTTGAGGTCTTGATTTAAATTTCTAGTTTGACCTTGAAAAACATTCCCAGATGGAGAGAGTTAAATCAGCTCAGCTCTGAAAGAGGAACATATGAATCACGGTTGCTAGGCTCTTCCGTGAGAGGCATGGGCTTTACATCCACGGCTAAGTATTTCAGAAGTCATCTTTAAACTCAGAGGAACGGAGCGTTTGAAATGATACTGGTGGAATACTGTAAACTTCATTAGACTTTTAAATGGAGAATTTGCATGTCATTAAATGAAATAGGTATAAAGTATTAGACAGTGGAATATCAGTGGCAAGACTTCTAAACTGTGATACGGGGCTGTGGGGGGAGAATTCGAACATCCATCTCCTTCACTTTGCTGTGTACATTTTGTTGAACTATTCTGCATATTCTCTAATACTTGCACAGTATATTTTATGTCATTCACATAACAGTTTCACATTGGTGTTTGTCCTTTTGGGACACAGGAACAGAAATAAGAGTTCCTGAATCCTCTTCTTGCTCTGCTGACTCGAATGACACGAAGCATATGAAGAGCATTGGCATTTACGTGCCTTACAGGCTCCCGTGTTGGGCAGTGTGGTTTCAGGTTTGAGCCAGCCCTTTTCCAGTGATCTTCATTGTTCTAGATGGAATCACAGTCTGAAGTCAGATGCATTGTGAAGCTCATCTTGAGTTTCTGGAGAGTGTTGGTGCTGCTTGTTGCCTGCTGACACCTGCTGTGTTACTCTGTGGGTTGTCCTTGTGTCTGTACAGCTCTCAGCTGGTCCTGTGCTGGTTGTATTTGGAGCCCTACATTTACAGCAAGAAAAGGATTTTATTGCATCAATTTAAAATAAATGCTTTGATAATTAAAAGCTAAAAGTTAATGTTATCACATAGGGGAAAACAAAGGATTTGCATTTAGGACTCCAACATCTTGGTACTCTCTCACCATCTGCATGTAGGTGATGCTCTGTATCAGTGGCTGTAGTGTACTGGAGGCAGAAGTTCTTTGTGCCATCCTGCTGCAGTCTGGTGCATGACTTCCTCTGAAATCACAGTTGTGATTTGCAGCAAATCCTTTTTTCTGCATCAACTGTGTTTACTCCTGGGATGGGTTTGGTGAGTTTATGTGTTCAATAGTGCTTTGGCATTGGTTTCTGTCACTCAGAACTTTGGTTTTCAAATTGTAAAGAAGTGCTTCCCAGTATATAGGGCTGCTCCTAAATTATTCCAGTTTCTGGGGATCCCGAAACTGAAATGGGAAACAGGAAAGCATTTGTATTTATGTCAACTTCTGCTGACTTGTTTCACTTGTAGTGTAAAATTACATCTCCCTATTTCCAGCAAATATTCATAGGGTGCTACTTGAATTGAGTGACTGTGACTAACGCCAAGGAGTGCTTTATCTTGCAAGACAGAGAGAAGCAGGCAAAGAGAAGCAGGCGATCCTTTTGTCATCTTTGAGGGCTGGTTTCCCCCTGCATTTTGTACAGGCTGGTGTAAAGTCTGTGAATTCAGTGTTGTCAGAAAAGGTTTGGATCTGAGAAAAGGTTACAGGGTGTGGGTTTACAGTTCGTTAGGCATTATGCAGTAGTAGCCAGTCAGTGTGCTATTAACAATGTAAATAGCAGGCAGTGTACACTGTTATTGTCCTATTCATCACAGTGTATTAGTAGTCAGATGGAAGTGACCATGGACTATTTGTGGAAACTATTTCATGAGGACCTGCCCAAAGAACTCCTGCACGGAGCGTTAACCAATGACCATTAAGTTTGTATGTTTATATGGAATATTAATATTTATTTGTATTTCTTCTCCTTAACCAGCTTAAAGCTAAATCACATAAAGGAAACACTGAGAAATAGAGAAGTATTATTCCTATCTTGCTTTCATCTAGGGTATGTTTACAGGATTTTGCCTAATTGATGGTACATTAGATATACCTGGAGTCTCAAAACATTTTTCTTTTCCAAAGTACCATACAGGTAAAATTTTTTAAACAGTGCCACTCAGTACTTAATGAAGCACAGATCGGTGTGTAATAATTTTGTAACATAACTGTTGTTGCTGAGAAGTGCCTGCGATGCAGATAAGCAGAGCTGTGACCTGTCACAGCCACTTGAGTCGTCGTGTTTGGGTCCAAAGGCACAATCTGGTTGCAGCTGCCCTTCTGGGTGTTGTATTCGGTTTCGGTATAGCTCCATTAGTGTTTTTGAAAGCCTGGGACGTGCACCTTCTTTTGTAAAGAAGAAATCATGACGTTTCTGGAGGAAAACCCTTATTCCGCAGGAGCCCTTCGCTCTGGAAGCTGCTCGGTGTGGATGTGTTCTTTTGTCTGCGAGAGGCAGCGTGCAGGCAGCGCTGCGGCCCTTGTTTGCCTTGGGTTATGTCAGCGGCGTTCTGAAAACGCAGCGACTCCATTTACTCCACAGCCAGAGTTCTGTTCATCAGCGAGAATATCTTTCTAGTGCAGTGCAGTGTGTGGTTACAAACACATCTAGGCACGTGAACAGCTTGAACACAAAGCGCCAGGACTGGTTCTAGCACAGAGGTGAAGAACGTCCTCAATTTCTAATTTACTGCTAACGTATAAATCTATCACTTGAGTGTTCTTAGAAGAAAATAAGTTTTCTTATATCAGTCTTAATCCTTTAAATAGTGCTGTAAATCCCTTAGCCATGCTCTTTGGCAGTGATGAATGAATATGCTATTACATGTGCAGTTTCCTCTTTTTTTTGTCTTCTAATGAGTAACATTTTTAGTTATATCACTGTAATAAACCTTTCAGTTGGGTTTTAAACGTTAAACTGTGCTCTTAAGAAACTGTATTCTTAAAAACACTGCTGGGGCAACTAATTTTATTAGTAAAAGTCTGCAAGTATGTATGTTATCTCCCAAATCCACACATGCTCTGACATACTGTTATCTCTCTATTTCTCTCTTATGTAGCAGTTACACAGATCTCTGGCAGCAGATGGCTGAACTATAATGCACTGCTAAACGAGTAAAACCATTAGGCATGTAATACTACCTGCCCAACGACTGTGCGTCTAAAATGGTTTAAAAAATGCAGTAAACTTCGTCTTAGAACTCATTTAATGAAATTGGAATAAAATCCAAGCTTGTTTCAGAATACGTAAAAGATCCCTTTATGTTGTGTCTGTCTCTTATTACATTCTTGCATCTGCTATAAGACGGTCAGTCCTCAATCAGATTTCTAATACCTGTTTTCTACAAATAATCACTTATTTTACATTTGTCTTTGTAGGGAGATTTGTACTCTTGTAGTACTCTAGTACTGAAGGATCTGTTGCATTATATGCTCTTTTTTTCCTCATTTTCAGATTTTATACATGTGTATTGAAATTATGATTCAGCTCTAGTGTCGTGGCTCTGTAATTAAACTGTTTTTCAATCATTGTAAGCAGCTGAGAGATATGCCATTTTGTCTTTTTGTTTTTAGATATGCCAATATTTGGTCTTTGCCCGGCTCATGATGATTTCTATTTGGTGATGTGTAACCACTGTAATCAGGTCGTAAAACCACAGGCATTTCAATCACATTATGGTAAGTGCTTAACTATTTTTAATAATTAAGGGTGAGGTTAAATCAGGATTAAGCCTGGCAATTTTTCTTTTTTTAATTGATGGTACATAGAACATTAAATTATAAATAATGTCAACAAACATAACCTGTGTTTAATCATTTTACATAGGTAACAATGCAGTTACATGAAGATCTTGTTCCTTTCAATTTTTAATGTCTTCCTGAAGCACTGCACACGTGCAGTTCGGTGTTGAAATGACATGTGTACTGTATTTCACAGACAGGATGTGCAACGTGTTTGTATGTGTCATTTCTCCATGTGTATTTACACTGATTATTTTTACATGAGGTTCCTTTGCAGTTTGAACTGTAACTTAACCAAAAGCTAAACTTACAAATTCTGCTGTAAAACATAATATGCTTCCAAAGGAGCAGAAAGCTTATTTATTTTCAGTAGTGTCAGTCTGTATTTATTTTAATGGTTCGATGGTTTTGTATATAAACTGTGCTAGGAAGCTCTTGTTACATTGGCTGGTGCTAGCCAACATTTATAGAGGACTGAGAAAATACAAAGTGCTCTGCAAGTTCAAGTGTTCCTTTGCTACCTACAAAAAGTAGCAGAGAGAGGCAGCAGACCTTCTTTTCCGTACATATCGAGGTTAGAAATTGATATCAAGCATTTTCATGTCAATACATAAATAGAAGGTTTTTGGTGTTCAGCTGTTTGTTTCTTGAGAAATTGAGGAGATGTTAGCGCTTGATTAGAAACAAAAATAAACATCAAAACTACTCCTTCCTCCCTGTGTCTGTCTGTCTGTTTGTATGTGTTCATTTTTTTCCTAGCCCAGTATTTGACTGCTTGCTTTGCTGCTTAAAGGATAGAAAATCTTGGATATGGGTGGGGAGTCTTTTCCAGATCTGAGAGCGAGCAGAACTTTCCTTGCATCTTAAATTCTCCAGCAAGAAAAGACACGTTTGCTTCTGCTGCTTCCTTGAGACTGGGAAATGGTCTTCCTGTGCAGTGCAGAGGGTGCACTTCTTGTTCTTTCTCACTTGGTTTTTGTGTTAAAATGCCATACAGGATACATCCCAACCCTTGCTGCTGGATTTCTGCAGTCACTCAGTGAAGAATCGGATGGATGTTATAATTCTTGCTAGTTTGTTTGCTTATCTGTGGATGGCAGTAGTAGTAAAATAAAAAGCAAACTCAGCTTATGTCTCCAGGGCTATAAGGAGTGAGAAGAGCAGAAGGGAATACGCTTCTCTTACTCCAGTTGATGTAAGCCTTTGTATATGTTGAGAGCAATTCCACCCCTTGCCAGTGTGATTCCTCACCTGTCACTGAGTATCAGTTTGGGATGTCCAATAAGTCCTTCTAAAATATCATATTAAATGGATTCTGCCAGTTAAAAATAAATTTATGGGGGAGGACTGGAAGGTAACTAGTTCTGAGTGTTGGCATCATGATTCTTGTGCCTCAAAGCCAGGAATATAAAGCTGGTTCGGGTTGGCAGTGATGGAGGAGAGCTGTTGGCCTCTGCACATGACTTGGACTGGTGTTCTGCAATGAGTTGATGACCCCCAGCTGCTTTCTCGTAACTGGAGATCCATACTGTAGGGGCCAGTGTTGTAGTTGTTGGCGTGACAACCTTCGGGCAGATTGAAAATAGGTTTCAGGAGCTGTATTGCTTCTTGACCATGGACTTGGAAGTATTGGGTTTTGTAATGCCGCTTGTATCAGTGTTCAATTCATTCTGAGAAGTGTAGTTTATTGTAAGGTCATTAATTTAAACTCTCCTGTAAGCAGTATTTGTAATTTGAAAGGAACAGCACAAAGAGGCAATTACAAAATGTAGGTATGGAAAATATATTTTCAAGATGCAACGTTCCTGTTCTGTATATGTTATAGGAGTGTAAGCCTACTAATGTTAGATCAGTTCTCTGAGAGAAATGGAGAAGAAAGGGATGGAAATGACAAGGCTTTTCTTAGTATTTCTTAAACCTATTCTGAACAATGAAGACGCTAAACAAGTGCTGCAGCTTGCAGAGGAAATGGGAGGAGCCGATCTGATGAGAAAAACAGGCTTGGGTGGGGTGAAAATTATTAAAAGACCTTAGTTTGCCAAACTAATAGTCGCAGAAAGGTAAGAGGGCTGACTTTGTGATTCCACGTCAAGCCAGCAACCTTGTCTTCTGTTTTCAACAGTCTCAAGATCCTTATGTCGTTGGCCCTTGTTTTAGCAAACTAAAACCTGATAAATATGAGAGATGATTGATTACGTCAGCAGTGTACTCCTCACTCCGTGTACTTGGAGAAGGAAATAGCTGAAGTCCTCATTTGGTTCTTCTAAAACAAAAAGTAGGCTAAGAAAATAAAGTTTGAATTCGTCTCAGTCAGTTTTCCATGGATTGGGTCTTTTCTTCGTGCCTTTATTTCAGGGACTTTAAAAGGAGCGATTACTTTCATGCACTCCAAGATTACAGCATATTCCTGAAGCTGTACCTTTTTTGTAATGATCTCAGTCTTTTTATTTTTAATCGTTACCGGAGAAAATATTGCTCAACTTATGGTGGCATGTGTTGCTTGTACTTGGAGTTCTTTAACATGTGTCACATGGGATTTTGGTTTCTAAAGTAGAATGTACCCTTTTAAAATGTCACTTTTGTCAAAGGAAGGGTAAACAAACTATCAACTAGGCCTAATGAGCTAATTAATTACTTCTAAAGCATATTTGTGATAAACTACTTAGGTAGGCTGAAAGTGCATTGCAGGACGTATGATAGGTAATTTTTCTCCCGTGTTAGTGACAATTTGAACATAATCTTATTCATCAGAATATTTTACTTTTTTTAGTAAAATATTTCACTTTTTTTTAATATAAAACATACTTTTATATTTCATGGCTTTTTATGTGACTAGAAGAGATACTAATTCAAAATTAAATATATTTGGAGGCAACCAAGGCATGTATTTGGAGTATGAAGTGCCCTTCTGACAACTTTGGTAAATTGGAACAATTGGTAGTACTGTTAGTGCTGTTGTTTTATAGATAGATAGATGTAAATACATATACAAATGCTATCATTGGCTTTTAAAATTCTGTGACATTTGCTGTATATATATGACACCATATATATGACAGGGGTCAAAATCTGTTGGCATTTTTGGAAGGTAATCTGATCATTTTTTTTCTAAAGCACATTGATCTAGATTTCCCCTGGCCTGTGTCCATCAGCTGCTTTCAGTCTGTTCCAGTGCCTTCTCCTCTTGGTGTGGGGCAGCCCAGGGGCTGGCCTGCTATTCAGAACAAATCTTCCTTCTGTCACACCTCAGCTGCTTCGCTTTCAGGATTGAACAGATGATTTAAGCACTTTATTGCCAGCATTCTTGCTGCTTCTTTTGGACTGACTGCATTTTTGTGGCATCAGCATCTTCTTTGGAGCCGAGATCAATCAGTGGCGAAGGAGTGAAAAAGCTGTGACACCCGGGCACTCAGTCCTATGAGAGAAGCACCTGAGATCTCTTATCCTGTTGACCTCTTCTGAGAAAGCACAGTATTTTTCTCCAGCTGCAGCTGACAGTCTGGTTGATCGTGTGCCAGCCTCTCCAGCTTCCATGTGGCATATACATGCCTTCTCTATTACTGCTGGGTGCGTTTCTTGAGTCCTGTGCAGTTTCCTCTCTTACTCTGTTAATTCTTACAGTAAAACTGATTTTGTCTGTCAACCATCACCCTTATCAGGAATACTTCCTTGGCAGCTAGCCTGCGTTAGGACTGAAAATGTTGCTTTTATTTCCTCCTTCTTTTTGCCATTAAAAATCATGCTAAATATATAGATGCTTGCTATACTACAGCAGAAAGCTGCTCTTTGCAGAAGACGTAGCTGCAGTTATTTCAGGTACTTCATGGCAGCCCTGAAGTGCAGTGTTTTTGGAGCCATGTGACCTTTTGCTGGTATTTCAGCCATTCCACATGGTTACTGCATCTCCTTTGTGGTGATCGGCCTCCTGTCTGGAGAGAACTGCTGCCCTTCCCCATCTGAGCTGCTCTGTGGTGGCTCACAGGGAGGAGATAGACAGCTCACTGGTGTGGAAGTAGCATCAGTTTAGAGACATGGATTTTCTTCCCTCTTATTTTTTTTTTCCTATTCTTTTTTCTTTTTCCAGCAGATTTTCTTGCTTCCATAAATACCAAGTGGGGTTATAACTGCTAGCAGTAGGTATGGCATGAGGAATGCTACCTGTAAAACTGATAGCATCTGAGTCACACAGTGATTGTGGAAACCATTAATACAGTAAGCACTGGAAAGAGACCATTACAGTGTGTCAGATTGTTGAGTCATTATAGAGGTATGTGCCATGTTTTGATTAGAGTCCATAGGTTTGGCATGCAAGTAACTAAGGCGAGCAACTGCTCTGAGCTTTGCTTTCTGCTTCTCTGTGAACCAAGGGGAAATACCCAAGCATCTGTATTTCTGCCCAGGACATGTTTAAAGTGTAGGTTTCAGGAAAGGAACAGTATTACAGATTTGTACACTTGAGCTTTCCAGGAGGCTGTGAACTTGAAATGAAGATTATCACACAATCTTATACTCAACCTGCAGAGGCCAAGGAGGGCAGATCTCGGTCGCAGAGAAGGGTGTTCACATGGGTCCATCCAGCAAGTGGCTGTGAAATCTCACCTGAATCTCCTTCATACATCTAACTGTATGAGCGTATTCCTTTCTCCTTCACCCAGTTCTCACACTCACCTTTAGCTAGCAGGTTTACTGCTTTGGCTGATCTTAGTGGTGTTCTGTTGTTTTTAATTTATTTGTTAGCTTTTGGTGTTAAGTGCCTGCATTCAGAGAGTACAAATAATAGTCACTGTGATTTTAATTGGGATGAGCGATCCGTTAGCTATCTCTGATAACATGCTCCTGTATTTTGGACATTATATCATGAGTGATTCAGATATTATCACAGAATCATAGAGGGTTGGAAGCAGTGTAATGTTCTCAGTTGCTTTTGACACTTTGTG